GGTTGAATTCCAGAAGGGTTGACCTGGTTGGAAGTCCAGAAGGGTTGACCTGGTTGAATTCCAGAAGGGTTGACCTGGTTGGAAGTCCAGAAGGGTTGACCTGGTTGGAAGTCCAGAAGGGTTGACCTGGGTTGAATTCCAGAAGGGTTGACCTGGTTGGAAGTACAGAAGGGTTGACCTGGGTTGAAGCCCAGAAGGGTTGACCTGGGTTGGAGTCCAGAAGGGTTGACCTGGGTTGAATTCCAGAAGGTTGACCTGGTTGGAAGTACAGAAGGGTTGACCTCTTTGGAAGTCCAGAAAGGGTTGACTTGGTTGAATTCCAGAAGGGTGACCTGGTTGGAAGTACAGAAGGGTTGATCTTGTTGGAAGTACAGAAGGTGACCTCGTTGGAAGTCCAGAAAGGGTTGACTTGGTTGAATTCCAGAAGGTTTGACCTGGTTGGAAGTCCAGAAGGGTAGCCATGGCCGTAGCAGCACAAGCACCGTGGTACAGGTCGTTGCTTCAGTCATTGGAGCGCAATGGACACCTCCCTTACTCGCACTATGCGCAGCTCGCAACCGTCAGGGCGGACATGCGCCCTGCGAATCGCACGATAGTCTTTCGCGGCTTTTCCGATGACCAAGAGCTGCTCCAATTTACCACAGATGCCCGGAGCCGCAAAGTGGAGGAAATCAAGGGTTGTCCGTGGGGGGAGTTGTGCTGGTATTTCCCCGAGACGAGGGAGCAATTCCGCCTCTTCGGTTTGCTTGACGTGATTGGCGAACAGGAGGAGGCTGCGGAAAGACGAGCATGGAGACTCGATGCCTGGACGAAAATGTCCACCGTGTCAAGGCAGCAGTTTGCCGGGCCGTTTCCAGGAACGCCCCGCGAGCAGGGAGAAGAGGACACGACGAGTGTGGCAGGCACACGTCAATCTGAGGGGGGGGAGTCGTCTGCCGCTCTCCTCACCTCCCCCTCTCTCCCTCTCCCTCTCCCTCTCCCAAACTTCTGTTTATTGACTCTGGAACCTCAGGAGGTAGATCACCTGCAGTTGAAGACCAACAGAAGATTTGTCTACAAGAGATGCGGCAGGGACGGAGAGGATGAGAAGAAGCAATACTGGGAGGAGATGGAAGTCAATCCTTGAAAAAAAAAAGGAAAAGAAAAGTCACTCTATCCATAACAGCAACTAGAGACTGCAAAATCCGTCGAAGAGACAAGGACGAAAAAAAAAAGGTGCCAATCTTTTTGGGCAGGCAGGAGAAGATTGATGACAGGATGTAAATGTAGATGGGCCTTCCGCCATGCAGTCGACCAGGACACACTAATCACCAAGCTGAACTGCAGCTTCATCTGGATTCGAACTCATGACCTTTAATCACAGTAGGACAACTGGGAAGGGTGATGAGAAAACGATAGGATGTAAATGAAGATCGGATTGTAATGTAAAATGGGCCTTTTGCCATGGGAGTCATCCAGGACACTACCCGGTAATCACCAACTGCAGCTTTATCTGGGTTCGAACTCGTGACCTTGGATCACAGTAGGAAGTCTCATAGCTTCGTCCTCAGTTTGATATGAAGTACAAAAAAGAATTAAAGGTAATAAAGTAGGCAATGTTGTAAAAAAGAAGAAATTAGTTTTTCGAGCGTCTGAGGAAAGGATAGGATGTCTGGATTCGAACTCATGACCTTCAATCACAGTAGGACAACTTGGAAGGGTGATGACAAAACGATAAGGATGTAAATGATGATATACCTTTGTCGGCCTTTTGGCTAAGATCAAGTGTAGTGTATCTGTTCTGATCAGTTTGATATCTGATCCGTGGTCCATCGGGTCACATTAAAAAAAAAAAAAAAAAAAGGATGTAAATGATGATAGGATTGTAATGTAGAATGGGCCTTTTGCCATGGGAGTCATCCAGGACACCAATCACCAACTGCAGCTTTATCTGGGTTCGAACTTGTGACCTTGGATCACAGCAGGGCAACGTGAAGGGTGATGAAAGGAGAATGAATGGTCACTGATTTTTTTTGGCCCGGCCGGGCAAGTGGTCCTGGGCCACTCTGGTACCAAAGATTTTTCAAAAAAAAGAAAAAAAGAAAAAGAAAAAAAAAAGAAAAAGAAAAAAAGAAGCCGACCTCAGTTGGAACACCCATGAACCGTTGAAATAACAGACCTGAGTTCGAATCCCCATGGAAGCTACTAGGCTACCAGCTGGGCCACCTGGATCACCTTGTTTTCCCGGGTGGCCCGGCCGTACAAGGACCAGGGAAGGTGCCAGCAAAACCAAAAAGGAAAAAAAAGAAAAAAAAGAAAAAAAAAACGAAAGAAAACTATGTTATGCAGCTTATGCTGCTTATGCAGAAAAATAAACTTAACAACCTTTTTTTTTTTTTTTTTTTTT